AAGCTATCTTGGGAGAAAAAACTATTTGAGGAAATAATGCAAATGATTTGTTTTGTGTTTCCTGGAGATGGGACAGGTGCTGACTCTCATTGATGACTGGTTGCAAATAAAATGCAAAGTTTCCCTCAGAATTTTCAAAAAGACTACAGCATTATTCAAGTTAGCTGCTTTAATCTGGCTAAGAGACTTGCATATATGAATTTTTCATGCTTTCACTAAGTCCTTTGCCCTTTCATTGATTTAAGAGCCCCAAATGAATGAGAAAACCTGTGTTGCCCACTAAATATGCAGTTGTGGAAACTTCCCAATGTTCTCATGTGTTAACTTCAAAAGTTAAACTAGCTTAATTTAGTAACTCATGTGTGGGACGTGAAGTGAAAACAATATCTTTTCTTTAACATAAAGCTAAAAAATATATTTATCTCACTCATGGGTATAACATACACATGCCAGTGGAAATATATCTATAGAGTCATTAGGAACATAGTGATAATGTACATTGAGGACACACAAATGATTTTGAATTCTAATTACATGGCCATCATTCTTTGACAATGAGTAAGTTGTATCACTGCTTTAAGCCTCAGTTTCCTTATCTTTAAAATATGAATAGTAACTCCTACTTTGCAGAAGTGTTGGCAGGATCAAATGAGATGATGACATTAGGGTTAGCTCAGCAGCTGGCTCATTGTAAGTGTTTAAAAAGTGTTAATTATTACTCCAATTCCTAGTGGTAACAGTCCAGATGCAGACAGGTTTTATAATGCTGCTACTCAACTATTACTGTGCATATAAATCACCAAATGCAAGATCCTGATTCTCTAGATCTGGAGAAATCCTGAGATTCTTCACTTCTAACTAGTTTCCAGGTAAAGCTGAGGACAATACTTTAGAAAGACTGTAAAAAGAGTTTGCAAATACATGTATTTTATTAGTCTAATGTTACTCACTATTGTCTGCACATTCTATACTCCCAGGAAAATTGTTCTTAAAAAATTAATGCTGGTCCCACCCCTGAAATAATTTAATTTTAAAGGAGCCAAAGCAGAGTCTGGGCATTAGTGTTTTTTAGAAGCCTCTGCTATGATTTGGATATAGTTTACTCCCAGAAGCTCACATCCAGCAGGTTTGGTCCTCCATGTGGTGATGTTAAGGTGGTAGAATCTTTAAAAGGTAGGACCTAGTAGAAGGTAATTAGGTCCTGGGGGCTCCACCCTCATGAATGTGCTAAGCCTGTGTCATGAAAATGGGCTGTTATAAAATGAAGCCACCCTGATCACTGTGCATGAGTGCTCAGCCTCTTGTGCATGCGGCCAGTTCCCTTTCTGCTTCTCCTCCACGTTGTGATAGGGCCAGGAGGCCCTTGCAAGAAGGCTGGTGCCAAGCTGCTTGGACCCTCAGGTCACCAGAACCACGAGCCTCTTTATAAAAGACATGGCCTTAGGTATTCTGTTAAAGAAACACTGAACAGACCAAGACAGCTTCTCAGTGATTCCAGGGTCAGCTGAGGTTGAGACTTCTGTTTAGTGATTCTGATGTGCAGCCAAGCTTGAGAAACGCCTCTTCACAGAATTGCTTGCAAAAGTGTTTTGATTTCCTATGCAATTTATAAAAAATAAGAATGTTTTAGGATTTCAAGTGTGTTGCATTTCCTAATCCCCGCATTTTATAGGAGGCAATCAAGCTCAAAGCTTTGCATATTGGAAGCTTTGAGACAAAGTTATACCAAATACCAATTAACCTCAGTTGTTCCAAGGTACTCATAGACATGATTCATGTTCATTCATTACTCTTTTCTCTTGTGAATACTAGCCAAAAAATTTCACCTGTCTGAAAGGTAGCATACTTTATGTCTACAGCCCTTAACACATACCCTGTACAAGGCAGAGAAGAAAAACAAGAAGAAAACAAACATTTATCTAGAGCTCATGCAGTGAAGAGGGGAGTTCTGCTGTATTCTAAGGGGAATTCCAGAGGAAGTTACAGATGTTCCCTTGCTTGTGTGGTAAAGAAAGCATTGTGTGGTAAATAAATTTGCTAAATGCAATCAATAGAATCAACAACCAAATCTCTAATTCTTCTTGTTAATAAGGCACAGCAACTAACTTTCCCTGCACACCCCCCATCACATTCGATTTTTCTTGCTTTATAATGTAATATAAAAGAAGGAAGTACTGAGAAGAGTGAAAGTAGTAGAAAATTCCTGAACCTGWCAAACAGAAGATAGTTAATACATCTTTGATAGATAAATATGATTCTTTCAAGCAGAGTGTCTTAATTACAAGGGACTGAGGATGTAGAGATGGTACCCATCATAAAGGGGTCTACCTTTAATAGGGCCCCATTAAGGAGACTATGGTCCCATTATGTGAAGCCTTGTTGTTACAGTGTGCAGGGGATTCTACAAAGTGGAGTCATATAGGAAATCCTGAAGCACAATGTCCCTTTTCATAAATATTATCCCAAGGTCTTCTCTTCTGGGTCAGCAAGCACAGATGTGATTAGCATTGTTGTATATGAAAACACTCACCTGATAGCCTTGGCCCTGATCCCATCTTGCACAAAAGAACAGTGGTCACATGTGAACCTCCTCTCTGTACCATAGATCTCTGTAGAAAGAGTCGAAGTTGTGGTTATAACAGGGAGTGTAGGCAAAATATAAACATATCTGTCATTTTTTTATAAAGCCCATTGGTGCAGATAACTATCAGTTGTGCTGTGTGGTGACTGAGAATGCCAATTCATACCATCTCTGGTATTCATCCTTTCTTTCTCTCTCTCTCTCTCTTTCTGCCATTTATTTGCTAAACCCTTATATGGAACTAAGCATGTGTCAAGGACTGAGTGATATCAAAGCAAACTCAACTTGGTTATTGCCATCCAAGACTTTCAGTTCAATGGGAGGAAAAACTTGAATCCAAAGAAAATTGTACTGTGAATCATTCAAGCAGGAAACCCAAAAGTTACTATGCTGTGAACTCTTGTCAGGAATAAATTATCCTGATTAGTAAAAAGAATTTTGACTAATAAAGAATGGGCCATGTTTTCATATATAGATCGCTACTTTCCCAAGAATTAAAACATGGTATGAAAGTTTGCCAAGTACCTACTAGTTACCAGACCTGAGCCCTGCACATGTAATATATCTTGTCCCGTTTTCACCATGATATTGAGAAGTAAATACTAACCTCATCTTACAAAAAGGAGACTGAGATTCACGGAAGTTAAGTGTTGAGTTCCTGATCAAAGGCTCCTATTCCTGAAAAAGGCAGAATTTGAACACACTAAGTGCTGTGCTCTTCCCATACCACATTTTATACAGAAATGGCCCTTGAAAAGCAAATGCTTAGATGAAGACCCCCCAATATTTTTTGAGAGAATGATTTGATTTGATTGATTTCAATTTGATTGAATAAATTCATGAATGAATGAAGCAAACTCTACTGAACATAATTTGATCTAATCTGTGATGATTCGGAAACTACTTCCAGATCTTTCCATACTCCATCATAATGATCCCTATTCATTAATGATGGAAACAGAATAATTTGGGGCAGTGTCTCATGCTTTATGCATGCAAACACTGACTTCACTAGTTTTACCATGTTTGGCTACTCTTTATACTATGGTTTTCACAGAATTATTTAAATCAATTCAGCTTTTTTAGCTAGACAGAATGCTCCTTTGTACTTGAAAGTTCAGTCTTGCTTGTACTAATAAAATATAGGCTAGAAACAAAGTAAATGCAATTAAAATAAAGTAGTGTTGTTAAACTCCACCCTGATAACACTTATTTGCCTGGAAGCTTCCTGTTTTATTAAAAGGAAAAAGAACAAGCATTAAAGGTATAAGAGTCTGGTTATAAATTACGTGTACTCAAGGGATTGAAGTGCATCCTGAAAGGGGATAAATTTCTCTCTAAATAATTCTTTATTTAGGCTTTGATTCTACCCCATCTAGAATTATATATACTTCTATTGATATGTGCTTTGCATTTTGGGAGATACTATCTAAGCAGAAACTATAGATTTGAAGTCAAATCCTGACTGGTTATGAATATTAACCTTACTAACAATATTTCAGGAGCCAATTTCTTTGAGCCACTTTCCTTAACTATTCAACCTTAATGATAATATGTTTTTCAGGGTCATATTTTCAGGGTTAAATGATACAGTCATAAAGTGCCTAACAGTGCTTGGCACATAGTAGATACACATTAAACATTAGTTTCATTTTTTTCTTTGCCTTTATTAATAGAAAATAGCATCCACAGTGGGTTTGTATGATGTGGTGTTCAACAGCATTTGTGACTTAAAGAAATCCCTGGTCTGATCTTTGCTGTGCAATCTTGGGCAAGCTGCTTAACTTTAATGTGCCTCAATTTAATTTTCTAAAAAGAGGATAACACTATTGCCTACCTCAGTTCCTGGGAAGTCTAAATGAGATAATGTGTCAGCAGAAATGTTTAAGAACTCTACAAGTGATAATTTTTATTACTATCACTGGCTAGGGAAGTAATATTTAGCAGGGAAAGTCATGAACTGATCTGTATAGATTGAAGAAAATGAGCCCAGATAATAAGTTGTGAAGGCCGTTAAGGACATGGACTCAGACTTTGATGGCCAGGGAGTCAGAAGGAGAGATTCTGTTTTCCCAAGACAGACAATCTGGAATGACCACAGGGTACTAGAGAAGTAGGTAGGAGATGCTGTGGAAAGCAACCACTGCTGTCCATCAGAAGCTCATGTTGGGGTACCCAGGAAAGAGCAGGAGGGCAATCAGGTACATGGGTGAAATGTTCACCAACTCAGAGCAAGGGACCAAGAATTCCACCCTTGCTCTGCTGGAATGGGCAAAAGAGAAAGAGGAGCCCAAAAGAAGGCCGGGATGCCAATAGGTATCTCCCAGAAAATGGGGGTGGAATGGGGCTCAGATCCCTTTCTGGAAGAACTGAACCTTCAAGTAGAGGCAGGCAACAGTGAGCTGTCTTTCCCTTTCAGCTTTATTCACAGTGACAGTCCCGAAGAAATTGTACACAGTAGACCACGGCAGCAATGTGACCCTCGAGTGTGATTTTGACACTAAAGATTGTACAGAACCTGAAGCCATAAAAGCCAGTTTTCAAAGGGTGGAGAATGGTACATCCTCCCCCAGCGAGAGAGCCATTCTGCTGGAGGAGCAGCTGCCCCTGGGGAAGGCCTTGTTCCACATCCCCCAAGTGCAATTGAGAGACACAGGGCAGTACCTCTGCCTGATCATCTGCGGGCTCGCCTTGGACTACAAGTACCTGACTGTGGAAGTCAAAGGTGAGTGCTTTCAAGGGCTAGAATTCATGGAGTCACCTCTCCAGCTGTGTTAGCTGCCAATAACAGAAACCTGTTTTAAGGGTTTTAAGGAGACAGCTGTTTCAGAGGGGGTGGAGGGAAGCACCTGCTTGGAAATGTTTTCTGACACCTGCACATAAAGCAGCTAAGTAAGGATAAACAGGAGTAGGATTTGTAGAAATAAAATGAGGCTGGAATAAGCCAGGAAAACAAGATCCCAAAAGGTGGGAAGGTGCCAAAGATAAGCTTTGCCTCATTCAGTTCTTTCAGGGAACATTCCCAGCTTAGTTAGTCAGCTACTCTTTGTAGTTGTTCCTATAGTCCAGAAACCGTAGTTCTCCAACTATAATTGTGATAAAATATCAAGTTAGTGAGAAGCAACCAGATGGGTGTTTCCTCTCCCCTCACCCCAAAAATAAATAAATAAATAAATAGGTCAGAGAGTATTACGGAGTAGGGCTAAGTGTTGTTTTAAAAACTCTTGTTTCTGGCTGAGCACCTTAGCAAGCCCCTGTCATAATAATAATAATAATAATAATAATAATAATAATAATAATAGAGTACGGATGTAGTTTAGTTGTAGAATTCCCCTGGGTTCAATCCCCAGCAGTATGAAAACAAAAACAATCAAACTCTTGTTTCAGGGGTGTGTGTGTGTGTGTGTGTGTGTGTATGTGTGTGTGTGTGTGTTGAGTCATGGCTTAAAGATTTCTTTCCCTCTCTTTCTCACTTTGGGTTATAAAAAGTTTGGAAAACATTGTTCAAGCCCAACTCCTATCTATCACAGATGAGGCAACCAAAGTCCAGAGAAGTAAAGTGGGCGGCCCAAGAGAGCCTGGCTAAGCCCATAGTTGTCCCCATTTCTCTGGTTTGGATCTCTTTCTACCCCCAAAGAGCCGGGAACCTAAACCTGAAGAGACTCTTCATGTTCTTGTTTATTCTAGGAAAGGTCATATTGAGCAAGACTCTTAACAACTATGAAAGATTGGAATCAGCTTGTTGATTGGCTTGTTGATAGACTTCTGAGCTAAACTGCCGGCGGCTCTCTAGCCCTCCCCACCCCACTCATTAGGCCTCTGAGGATCTGCCTTCTGGATGTTCTGTGGGTTTTGGCTCCCAAATACTATTGACCTGGGCAGAAATGGTGTGACTATGATCCAGAACAAAGAAGGACATAAGAGAAGGATTAGGCACAAGGATGAACGTTGACTTCACCTGTGGCACCTTTCATAACCTTCTGTTTTTCTTATCAGTGAGAGGATAATAGTAGCTCCTACCACATAGGATTGTTGTAAACATCAAAGATAATAAACATAAAGAGCTGGACATGGTGGCTGGCATAGAGAAAGTATCCAGAGATTTATTTTAAAAACCCAAATATTTTTTGACTACCCCATCCTTCAACCATCGGTGTGTCCAGAGGAAAGCCACATACCCGCTTTCTCTTTATTGCTTTTCCTACCTCTTGGCATCAGCATGGAGGAACTTGAGAACACTGATGTTAGTCTGAATTCAATTCATATGAGGAAAGAAAGCCGTGCAGTCTCAGGATCCCCTAAAGTCCTAGAGTATCTGCACCCCTGACACCACCCCCATGTTTATTGATCCCTATTTATGGTATGTCTAGGGTCTTTGAGAAGTTGGGAGATGGCTACACCTTTCTTTCAGACAGAGGGCTGCCTCTCATTCCTGGGGAGGCATTTCGCCTACTACCTCAGCTAGATCAGGGATTTCTCCAGTGTGGAGAGATTTATTCCTTAAGGGAATGCACATTGGAGCACATGAGGAACATGAAAACTTTCTAAGCAATGAATGAGCACAGTCAGTTTTAGGAAGTAAGTTTCTAGATTCTCATCTTCCCCAAGTACTCTTTCCCAAAATTGATGAACCTCAGAATATGTGTTCCAGGTAAGGCTGTTGGGGTTCCCATAAAACACTTCCTTTTTTTATTGCTTTCTTCCACCTCCTAAAAAGTTCACTTCTACCTCATCATAAATGTAGTCCATTGCCCCAAGGTTTAAACCTCCATAGTACCAAAAAGAGTAAACAGAAATACCCACACCTTATGGAACCATCATGACTAACTGGTCATTTTRCAAAGCAGATGGTGTCAAATTTTCTGCTTTCAGCAAAATGGATGAAAGCACAAATAGAATGATGATCATATAATCAAAATTGAGTAAATTTGCCATATAAATCATGTCATTCAAAGAATGACATACCTAAGTAGAACAAAACTTTTCCCAGTTTCCATCAACTTACTCATATGAACAAGGTCCCACAGCCCTTCTAGCTACAGAAAATGAAAATTTGAAAGAGAATGGATGCTGTATACTACCACGTTAAAGCAGTCCAACCCCAAGACATATGTATCCTCAGATTCAGGAATAATTTGAAAAATAAGCAAAACTTTTCCAGGAAATTTGTATCTTTCATGTTGAATAATTACCAATATTCATAGCATTTYACATTGTAATCATATATATGCTGATAAATGGAAATTAGATTTCAGTGCAGAAGAAAACTTTGAGTACTTAAAGCCTCATGGTTATAAGAAAAATATTAACTTCAGTAGCTATACATACTTTATTGCAAGGTGCATAAGGATAATAAATCAAAAAGCTGTCAAATATAAACATTTGTCTCAGCAAGATAAACTTCTGGAGCTAGAGGTGTGACTCAGTGTAGAGTGCTTGCCTAGCACGTTTCAGGCCCTGAGTTCCATCACAGCACTGGAAAAAAAATAACTTCTATGGGGAAATTAAAATAAGAAGTGAGATTCAAGAAAAGATACAATATAAAGCTCTGACCATTAGAAAACAATTTCTCTCTGTATTTTTTAGTGGATGATGGTGTGTAAAAAAGAYAGCTTTTTAAATATTTAGATTCCATTAGGTGCATATATAAGAATGAAATAGTTGTTTTACTAAAAAAAAATACAATATAAATTATTTATTAAAATTCTAATTTTCCAGCATAAACTTATTTAAAAAATTCTAAGAATTAATGAGGGACCATAGTGTTTCTTAGTTCTTTTAGGAGTAATGCAAGCAAAATAAATAAATAAATAAATAAATATTTAGGACCAGCACCTAAGAGTATCTTCTCCTGATCAGAGACTTCTAAAGGAATCAGGATAGATCTGGTGCCCCAGTGAGGGTTCCCATAAATGAAATAGGACTGGAGGAGAACAGACTTTTGCCTTAAAATTCATGGCATAAACCTTGAAAATAGGTTTATATTACCTTCTTTAATGTCCATACAGCAATTCACATTAAATATAGTGAAGAGAGAGTTGATTTCAAAGGGATAGGAGAAATGTGAGGTGTAATGGCTAGAGCATCCAGAAGAGGTAATAATAAAGGGCTGTGGTTTCTGAAAACCCGGGTGGTGACTATCTGACWGGGAGCAGTCTATGGCAGGGGGCCTGGCTGAAGCAAACAGTACACAAGGCCAAACAGACCAGGAGGGATATGATGCCAAGAACCCCACACAGGAACAGAGTAAGGTGGAGATGGGTACAGGAAAGAGCTAATACCAGGAATCTGCTCATGTTTTAGGAAGTACTTTAAGCCAAAAAAGAAAGAAAGAAAGAAAGAAAGAAAGAAAGAAAGAAAGAAAGAAAGAAAGAAAGAAAGAAAGAAAGAAAGAAAGAAAGAAAGCCCAAGATGGACACGAGGGTAGGTACAGGAAGAGACAGCATGATTTCCATTTAAAGAACAGGAAGACCAAGGGCTCAGGACTAGCAGTGGAAGACAAACAAGGCAGAAGTGAAAAGGTCAACTGTTAAGTCTCTAAGGCCAGGGAAAGCATTTGCTAACATGACTTACCATAGAGCTATATCTCTGTTCTCAATGTCTATTTTCCCTTGAGGAAACAAGATGATAAGGAAATTTGGAGTTAAGAAAATAATGTCCTGAATTTCAAAGGGAGAAAAGCTCCTGGGAATTGCAAACTCTAATCAAATTCTTCTCTCGGGCTGTTTAACAAGCGAATGGGAACAATTCTAAAAGATTTATTTCAGTGATTGCTAGAAATTTGCCTGGATCCTCAAGACCAAGACATGCAAAACTACATTTTTTCTTCTCATTTGCGTCAATGTGATAGACAGTGAGACAAGGATCAAAAGTTCAAAGCTAGCCTCAGCAACTTATTGAGGCCCTAAGCAACTTAAAAAGAAAAAAATAAAACTGGCTGGGGATATGGCTCAGTGGTTAAGCATCTCTGGGTTCAATCCCTGGTACCAAAAAAAGAAGAAGRAGAAAATCCCTCAGATTCTGAAGTCCATGTTATCAATTACTGTGCTTACCTTATGTTGTGATACTAAACCAAACAATTACCAATGGGTTGAAGCTACAAAGAGACTTTGTGTAAGGATGATCTTCCCAATAAAAGTTTAACTTGCTTATCAGTCCTGATCAAGACTGCCTAATCCAGGCAAAGACTGTTTCTAGATAAAGGAGGAGCTTCCATTTGARGTTGTATTTAACCAAAAGTTAACTATCCATCTCATTACTAGGATTAGAAAAATAGGTACTACTAAATATAAAAAGTATTTCATAATGATAAAAGAATCGGTCCTACAATAATGCAATTCCATTTTTCAACAGTAAAGTGACTAAAATTTTAGTGCCATTGGCAAGAGTGTTGAGGTAAATCACTCAAAGTCTTGGTAAAAATATTTAAGGCATACTCTTTCCTTTTTTGAAAATAAACTGCAAAACTACATGTTTGCAAAAAGACTTATGTTCAAATACGTTTGTTCTAGAATTATGTATTAACTGGGAACAAGGATCAACTTAACAAACTGGTATATCTTTGTAAATGACAATTATGAAAATAAATGAAGTAAATATGGAAAAAAAGAGAATCCATCCTACAAGGAGACACAATCTTAAATGTGTTTTCATCCATCAACTTACTATCAAAATTTCAAACAAAAATTGGCAGACTGAAAGGAGAAAGAGACAAATCTACAATCATATTTGAGCTTTCAACTCAACTCTATTATAATTGAGAGAACAAACAAACCAGAAAATATAGTAGAAGAAGTTGGGAAATGGTAGCCACATGCCTGTAATTCCAGCTACCCCAAAGCCTGAAGCAGGAGGATCACCAAGTTTAGGCCAAGCTTGGCAATTTATTAAAATCCTATCTCAAAATAAAAATTTTAAAAGGCTAATGATGTAGCTCAGTGGAACAACACCTCTGATTTTAATTCCTAGTACCACACACACACAAATAAACAAAAGAAAGAAAAGAAAACATAGTAGAAGATTTAAACAATATAATTAGCAAACTTGAACTAATTGATATTATAAAATTTACACCCAGCAACTGCAGAATATACATTATTTTCAAGTGCACATAGAACATTCATCTAGATAGTTATCTAGCAGAGTTACTGAAGAAGATATTCGGAATTAGGAAATTAGAATTTYAAGACCACTTCCACCTTTGAAATTCTAAAATTTACTCATCTTTTCTGAAGAATATCAACCACCATCCAGCTTCCCCATCATGTGTTGCTGATATAATACCTCTTCAGCCACTTCCTAAATAAAATAGAGACTGTAGAGCCATCTTGGATGTTGTAATGTAGGATGTGGACTTCTGTCCTTTCTCCAAACCTTGCTGATTCTTTTAGCTGAACCTTTTTTCCATCTGCCCCATCATTTATATATCTCAATTAAAGCTTCAGACAAGCTCCTAATTCCTGGCCCTTCTACTTCTGAAATCACCACTCAATGGTGATCTCACCTCAGTTGCTAAGATGAGCTGCTTGTCCCGAGCCACCCTACCGAAGTTAGCAGGACCCTCACACACAACACACTGCTCTAAGTTATCCATTTTCTTGACTTTGTTCTGCAAAAGACCAAAGAGTTCATAGAAATACAATAGAATAGGATTAAGTGATTATAAGATAATCAAGGGAAAATAAATGTAGATAAATAACATAAGAGATAAAGTGAACACTCTAAATGCATGCTTCAGATACTGTGTGATTGCTAGAGATCAGCCAAAATTTGGCTCTAAGGAGACTGATGAAACAGGTCAAGTCCTTTGTTTCAGAACCTAATTTTCTTCAGCTGCTAGTCCTGGGTCCTACTAGATCTCTCAGGAAAACATATTCTTTTTCCTGTTCATATTGYTCCACCCTAGGCTTCTATAACTACATGAAGAATCATCCTGCAATGGTGTTTCTAATGCAGAAGTCAGGAAGCATATACTCAAGTCTCCCTAATGTTTCTCTGTTTACAAACTAAGAATATGAACTTAATTTACCTCCAAGGGTCAGCATATAGTTTAACTTATTATTGTATAGTAAGGATTAAATAATTCAATGTATGTAAACCACTATGATATCCAAGACAGAGAAAGGGTTTTATTTTATTTATTTCTATTATTTAAACTTTATTTTTTTTATTTTATTCATTCTTTTTAGCTATATATGACAGTAGAATCCATTTTATATAACTATGCAAGCATGGAATACATCTTATTCTATTTAGGACCCCAGTACCTCTCCTTCTCCTTCCCTTTTCCCACCCCCCACTCTCTTCCCTCTATTGTTCTTTTGGCCATTTACTCATAGTTTATTTTTTAATTAATTTCTGTGGATGTGCATGATGGTGAGATTCAATGTGGTTTATTCAGATATGTACATAGGAAAGCTATGTCCAATTCATTATACTGTCTTTCCTATTCCCATCTCTTCTCCCTTCTCTTCATTCCCCTTTATAAAATCTACTGAATTTCTATTCTCTACCCGACTCCTTTTATTGTGGGTTAGCTGCCACATATCAGAGAAAACATTCAACCTTTGGATTTTTGGGGACTGACTTATTTCACTTAGCATGACAGTCTCTAGTTTCATCCATCTACTAGAAAATGTCATAAAGTCATTCCACTTAATGGATGAGTAATACTCCATTGTGTATATATGCCACATTTTTTTATCCATTCATCTGCTGAAGGGCACCTACATTGGCTCCATAACTTAGCTATTGTGAATTGAGCTGCTATAAATACTGATATGGCTGTACACTGTAATATGCTGATTTTAAGTCCTTTGGATATATACCGAGGTGTGGGACAACTAGGTCAAATGATAGTTCCATTCCTAGTTTTTTAGGGGAAAAAAAAAAAAACCTGCTTTCCAGTGCGGTCGTACCAATTTGCAGTCCCACCAATAGTGTGTGAGTGTACCAAGAATAAAAGTGAAAATATTATTAGTTAATATTAATAGAATTAATTTTATTCATTTCACATGGTATTGGGTACACACCTTTACAGAAATAAGAAATGAAAGACATTCCTTTTTCATTATTGTCCAGCTTCCTACAAGAAAATAGATACTGGCATCCTCAAGGTCACAGGGACAGATGAGGTGGAACTCACATGCCAGGCCAGAGGTTATCCCCTAGCAGAAGTGTCCTGGTCAAATGTCAGTGTTCCTGCCAACACCAGCTATACCAGGACCCCTGAAGGCTTCTACCAAGTCACTAGTGTTCTGCGCCTAAAGCCACAGCCTGGCAGAAACTTCAGCTGCATATTCTGGAATGCTAAGATGAAAGAACTTACTTCAGCCATCATTGACCCTCAAGGTAAGAGCTGCCCTGGCCCCACCTCCTAGCTCTGTCAGTCAGAGTTCAAGCAAGAACAAGGTGGCATACTCAAAGTAAGTCATTTGAGGAGGGTATAATAAAAGGACTGTTTATGAAGGTGTGATCAGAATTTAGGAAAACTACAAAGGACATAGGGCATCAATATTGAGGGAACTGTTACAACTGTTGGAGAAGCTACTGGAACCAGGAGGAGACAGCTGAAGGAACAGCATCACTTAGGAGATGTAACCTTCGGAAGAGGGAGACTGCCAGCTGCAGTGACTACAAAGGGMAGAAGCTGGAAGAATGTCACTCCAACCTTGTTCTCCTCCCACCTCCAATTTCCTGCCAGTGCCTCCCATTGACTGAACCCATTGTTCCCTATTGAGAACAATGGAGTCTACTGATGGCTTCCATAAWGGTCAGCCATACCAGGTCTCAGAGCAGAGTATTGAAATGGAGAGAATGGATGTGGACAAGAATTAGAAAATACCTCATCCCATAGCTAGACTAAATGAAAAGCAGAGTGCATTGCCTTTAATAATAATTGTTCAATCAATGTTGGGTTGATGAGTTCGAGACTTAATTTTTGTCCCATCATCTCAAATACCAGACTATATAGGAAGTCAGATCAAGGCAGCCAAATGATGTCCCAAATTGTGGCACAAATACCAGCAACAAAACACAAAATTCACAATCCTCCAACAGGTGCCTTGCTTTTTTTTCTCAAAGCTATTTTCAAATTGTCTTATGACTGTTCCCTTTCTACTCATTCTTATAAATCGAGCTGCTCACTGATGGTTGCTGTGAACCACCACAAGCTTCTCCAGAAGTCAATGAATAAGACAAACACAGAAATGAAAGTGTGTRAGATGTGCCTGAAACTCTAACACGAATGACTATACATCCTAACTTTCAATCAGAAGTTAGGGAGGAATGAATTCATAGGATTTCTTGTGTAGCCAGTTATTGCATATTCCTTGGAAATGTAACAGGACTTCAGCACAGGAAATGACTATTAAAAGACCTTTGTGGGACAGGCAGAAAAGTGAAGGCCTCCTAGGACACCTAGAGGTGACTCCAGGCAGTGGTCAAGAACATGGTCTCTAAAGTCAAGACAGAATTTCAAATGTTGAAAACTTGAACATACTACTTAGAAATTAGTTTCTCAGGTGTAGAATGAGGGTAAATAATGGTGGATACCTCAAAAGGTTATCATGATGATTTAAGGAAGTATCTTGGAAAGGGCTTAGCACTCAGAAAGGGAGGAAACAGTAAAAAAAAAAAACATGGCACCCCTAGCAAGATTATTGACTTCCTTATGAATGCATGGGACTGGGGTAAAACAAGAYAAACATTTTTGCCACTGCACCATTATATCATTGCTAAAGAATTTTCAATTATTATAAAACAATCTAGAAAGATATATCTTAGGACACAGCCTAAGCTGCTATAATGAAGAGAACCAAAAATACAGAAACTCAAACAAGGCAGAAATATATTTCTCCCCATGCAATATTCTGAGATAGAAGGTAGTTCAGAGCAGCTAAAYAACTTTATTCCATTAATCCATTCAAAGATCTGGGTTATTTCCACCCCGCTGCTCTTCCATTCTCAAGAATGTTGAATTGTCAAAGCAGAGTCACTGCCAAATCTGTGTTTCTATCCTCAAAAAGGAAAAAGAATGGAGATATATCCAATATTTTAAGGCTGAGATCCAGAAGACCACTTCTCTGTTTGAACTTCTCTTACTTCAGTGGGTACCGGAAATACTGTCTCTGTGTTCAGATAATGCACTAATACTAAGGAAGAAAGATAGGATGGTCTAAAGGGATAACCCTCAGTCTACCACAAGGTAACTAATAGCTAGGAAAATCAACTAGGTGGACTAGACACACAGCCCAACAATTTGGCCTGACAATTTTTATTGACATGTAAATACACATGGTTGGTGCTACAGTGCAGAAAATTCAGAGGTGACTTAGATAAGGCCTTTATCCTCCAAGTAGTTAGAGTCCAAGTAGATAATTCCTAGCATGTTCAATTTTGCAAAGTCTTTAGAAATGAGTAGAGTTTCTGCATGTGCAAGGGATTCTGAGGGAACCTRTCCAGGCGATGAGCAGGGACCTCTTCCATTGTGGGGACAATGAGGAGCCCAGTCTTCTTACTCCTCGCAATGTTAAATGCAGCAAGTGCCTCATAAGCACTTCCTAGACGTGAAGAAGATTATAGTCAATATGCATTATCCAACATTGCTTTTCCAAACAGGTTCTTTATCCTTTTCTTTCTTAACTCTCACTGTCGTATGTTGGATGGGGATGGTATCTGAGGGGCCTGAGCTCTGGGTCAGACATGGCTTGGTATGCAACCCTGGCTCTGTTACCGATTTGGAAGTGAAGACCGCAGATGGGTTATTAGGCATCTCTGAGGCTCTTTCAATTAAAATGTCAGTCTTAGGACTAAATAATGTCTAATCCCTTCTCAGGTAAAACAATCTATGGTTTTTAAATGATACTTTGTCAGGACAGGGAAGGAAGAGGTAGGAGGGAGGCAGGTGGYAGGACTGAGCCCTTTCTCCTGAACAGTTTTGTCCACTTTTTCCTGGATGAAACTGTTATGTTTATTCTGTGTAAGTTGCTCCATGAGACAAAACTCAGACTTTTGAAAATGACACAACCTAACTTGGTAGCCTTTCATCTCCCTACTGTGAATACCCCTACAGTCCTGTCCTTCATCCATCTGAGACCCCTGTTCTAACCTGTAGCTACCCAGAGCTCTCCCTCACAAGGCTTTCCACAGTGCTCTTCTCATCTCCCTCCTTTACTAAGTTGATGTCTTCCTTGGTTCCATGATCTTGATTAGCCAACACAAGGGTCATTCCTAGTCATTGTACTAAGGCAGGAATCACCAAATTTACTAAATTACCACTGCCTGGGATGTTCTACTCTTTCAAAAGGATCTTGTTAATCCTTGAAATTGAGCAATGGTAGAGATTCTAAGCACTTGAATGCTTGTTAGTGTGTGTGTAAGGGGGGTGGGGGGTAGAGATATTTTTGGACTGAGGGACTTTTCCACCAGAAAGAGGGAGGAAAGGTGATGATGAGAAAGGAAAGGAGGAAGGAGAAGGAAGAGAGGAAGAAAAAAAGGAAGTTGGTGGTTGGTTGATTGATAGATAGACAATAGGTATATCAGAATGGCAGAAAGCATGGAGTCTGGAAGCAGACAGCCCAGGTTGTATCTCTGCTAAGTCATTTGGTGTCTACCTTTGGGAAAATTCTCAGCCTTTCATCACTAGTAAAATTACAGTTAAGCCTACCTCATAGCATTGTCGTGAGGATACATGAGCTGAGATGTACAGAGCATTTAACAGTAACTGAGCAAAGGCTCAACACAGTGGCTGTGTTGGTTAAAACCCAGTCATATGGCCAACTTGGTGTCTATTTCTGAACTGCCATGTAATAAAATTCTGGTTCTTTCCTTCACCCAGGTCAGATGAAACCCAACATCCCTACTACTTCTCTGCTGTTCATTCTCATCCCTTCCTGCATCATTATTTTAATTTTCATAGTCACAATGATAGCCATGAGAAAACCACTCTGCCAAAAGCTGTATTCTAGAAAAGGTAAGTTTTATTTACAGTAATCAAGTGGGCTGGGAAGTCTGCATGAAATCCAATCAAGACAGAGCTTTGAGCTCATCCTGATGATTTTTTTCCCTACAAGAAAATAGCTCTAGTCATCAGTGAAGTAAATTCCATACACTGAGCTTTTAAAAGAGAAAGTTTTGTTCCCATAGCTAACATGCTAGGCTTTATTCTTGGAGCTAAAAACTTTCATCAGACTGATGAAGAGTAATGTCATTTTGGCAATGCAGATAGCAACGTGGTCAGATGCAGGTGAGAGGTGTCCAGGAGTGTTTCTGAAGATTCATTCAGTTTTATACCTCTTTTCCCCATCCTGGGCTTGAGCCAGGTTAAAACTTTCCCCTATCCCCCAGGAATCTGAATCCCCTGTTTGAGTAAAGGAAAAGAGAACTGATTGTGAGGCTATTTGAGGCTGGGGAGCCTCAGCAGTTCCCCCTGGCATGCCTCCTTAACCCAGTGTGTTCTCACCAGCCCACTCCCATTCTGCTGTACTGGCTGGCACAGGGCATGCTTGTAGTCTTTGGGCCCTGAACAGAGCATTTGTTACTCCTGCTTCTGTCCTTAGTGTGTCTGACCTTGGTTTCCTTGGTGTCCTTGTCCTGGCTGCAAAAATCCCAGGATGTACACAGGCCTGTCTGGCTATCCCTTCGTCAGCACCTAGTGAACTTCTCCCAAGATCTACACTGGCCTTGTCTATAGAAAAAGAAGTGACATACGAGAATGATTCGATAGGAATTTGGGGCAGCACTAGTGCAGGTGGTTGGGGAGGTTTTTAGTGACTGTTATTCTACATTTACTTCTGTATTCTCATCTGCCATGAAGAATATGAAAACCATCATCTATATTATCATATATCATGCTCTGTTAGTCCATTCTGCTACACATATTAACTTGAATGTGACCATAAAAACCCTCTAACTGTAGAATTCAAGAAACTGTTATCAAAAGAGAGAGAATGAAGAAAGAAAAAAGTGAGAGAGAAGAAAGAAAAGAGAGGGGAGAGAAAGAAGGACCAAGGGAGGAAGGAGGAGAGGGAAGGAGAGAGGGAGAAGGCAGACAATGAAAGTGGAAGGGAAAGGTGCTTCATGGCAAAAGAGGACGAATTACAGTGTTTGTTCAATATATGTTTGACTTTTAAATAAAATCATTTTAAAAATCTATGCTCTCAGAGGGCTGTGGCAGATGCGACTCACTAAAGTCTTACCTTCTGCCTTTCTTCTTTTGGTTCTCACATACATGACTCTTGTAAACAAGGTTCCAGGCCTGAGACCTGAGGACCCTTTAGTCACTTCTATTCTGGCTATCTTTGACGGAATGGAATAGAGTCACACTCAAAGACAGAGCATGGTATCACCTCTGTCTTGAAAATTACTGAGGATATCAGTAGCTCAGAGTTACCGGAATATAAGACTCAACTGTGATTGAGAAAGCTTTGTTACTAATAAGAGTTAAGTGACTAAATTTGTTAACATTCCTTTTTAATGAACCAGAGGGAAATCATGGTTGTCCATCTAATAACACCCCTTCCTATCTAGCTCATTTGCATTCAGATCTGCTTTCTTGTATGGAAGATACATGGATACATGTAGAAATGTGTCTGCCATGCACACAACCTTGAGTGCCATGAACTAGAGCAAAGAACTGTAGGTTCTATGGACAGATTTTCTAACCAGAGTCAGAAAGCTAGGCGGATCTGGCACTGCCATTTATTGGCCCTACAACCTTAAACAAATCACTCAACTTTGAGATGGTCTTTCTTTTATTTATTTATTTTTCTTTTGGTATTGGAGATTGCACCCAAGGATGCTCTATCACTGAGCTACATCCCTCACCCCTTTTTTAAATGCTTTTATTAGTACATTATAGTTATAAATAATAACTGGGTTCACTTTGACATAATCATATGCATGGAATTTAATTTGCCCCATTTTAGTTCCCAATATTTTCTCTTTACCTCCTCTTCCCCTCTCTCTTATTCCCTTTCCTCTACTCTACTGGTCTTCCTTTTATTTTTAATTTATTTATTTTCAACTTGGTGCTTTATAAACATAAAGTTGTAATTCACGGTGGCATATATATCCATAGTGTAATTTTGTCAAATTTGTTCCACAATTCCCAGTTATTTATTTACTTACTTACTTTTACTTTTTTAATATTTACTTATTTATTTATTTGAGACAGGGCCTTGCTAAGTTGCACAGGCTGACCTGCAACTGACAATCCTCCTTCCTCAGCCTCCCAAATCATTATGATTAAAAGTGCACTCCACCACGACTAGCTTGAGATGGTCTCTCTACATATAAATGGGAAACAGCAAAAGAAGGAACATTTACAGCTTTTTAACACAACCTCACTGCCACATATGTGTTCGACCTGGACCACAGCAGAATTCTCCTAACTTATCTCCATGCATCTAATTCTGACACCTCCTTAATGATCTGTTCTTCCTTTCTAGATGAGAATAGGCTAGAATAGGCTTTAATAAAAGTCTACCATTCTCCTTTGCTCAACCTCTTCAGTGACTTCTCTTTGCTCACTGGATGAAGTCCCAATGAGCCCTGGGCATCTAACTCATATCTCCAGCTTTGACTATAGCACTATCACCCACCCTTCTTGCCCAAGCTCTCACCATAGAGGATTTTCTAGTCCCCAGAGGCACCCCACTGTCAATTCTGAACTTTCTTTTATGATGTCCTAAAATGCCTTCTTCTTGTCTACCTCAGTTATAATCATCCTTTAAATTTCAGCTGTCATTTCATCAGTCTCCCAATTCTACCCCCTTGCCACACCTATTAAATCCTCTTGTTGTATGCTTCCACAGCACTGACTTCTTCTTTCAATACACTCAGCACAGAAGTAAATGTCTAGAACCTGCTTTTAATAGCTTTGGCTACAAATGCATTGCATTCTTTTTAGTTTTCTAATTAATCCCTCAAGCACCCACTTGCTCATCTTAGCAAGAAGATCAATGTCTCACCCCACACATACAGTATGCATTTCTCCACCTCCCACAAACTATCAGGAGGCCTTCTCAGTTTACAGGGCCAGTGCTCTTTTCAAAGAGGCAAAAAGCCTACTGGAGAGCTAGGTCGGTCCACCAGAGAGCCCTAATTTTGTGCTGTTTCTGACTCTACTCTTGCTATACAGAATTTTTGTTCTCTTCTGATGTCTCCATCCACTGCAAAAAGGTACCCTTGCAGGTCCAGATTCCCATGCAGATCATGATGATACCAGATTACAATTCCTATGGCTCACCCTCATATGCTTTACCATTGGTCCCAAAGCAAGACTCTCATGGGCTACAGAGGTAGGGGAGGCTTCCTGCCTTAACCACAGCTTGCACAGCCAGCCTCTTCCACACTTGTCATGTTGAACATGAGACACTTGTCCTCACTTCCTTCTCTTGAGTTCCTCTTAGGGCCATTGTTGTCCTAAACTTATTAATCCTTTGAAGACTAAAGTTGATAGGTAGTAGTCTCAGTTTCTTGCTTTCTAGAAGGCTCCTTGGCTCTTAAACAGATTTAGCTACCCATGCCTCACCACCAACTCTGCACACTAAGGTGGATTGGGAGGGCAGCAATTGTTGGTCCATAAAATATCCTATTTACCATTTCCTCCTAAGATAACCATTAAGGGCCCCAGGTGATCTGTTGAGTTCCAGAGAAGAAGCTAACAATTTCTGTTGCAAAAGTAATGTCAAGCTCTGCTTTCAGCTAGTCCTTAAGTTTCATGAATACAGGGACTGTGTTCCTCTCATTCACCAATATGTGCCCAGTGTTTAAAGCATTATCTGACTTATTTAATATTTTAATAAAATTGTAAACATTGAACCTACTATATGCTGATGAATATGCCAGACCTGTCCTATCCAAAATAATGACTATTTAAATTTAAATAAAAATTTAATTCATTAATTATATTTTAATTACTCACACATTGTTACTGCTCAAGAACCACTTGCAGCCAGTGGCTACCATATTTGACACTGCAGATATGCAAAATTACATCACAGCAGAAAGTTATTAGATGGCACTCAGACTCTTTACAAACTTATTTTTACTTAATCCCACCAAAATTTCTTGAGATAGAGGTGGTGTCTTTACTTTACAGATGAAGGAATTGAGGCTCAGAAAGGTTATCTGACATCCCAAAGTCATCTGGCTTGTATGTGAACACAGGTCCACAGGTGTGACTCTAAAACCTGTAGATTTTTTGTTGAAAAAAAATAAAAATTGGCTCAGTCTAAATAGCATTATCTTTGGGCAATTGAAAACAAAAGCAAGTTCTCAATCCAAAAGATTTGAGTGACTTTATCATTGATTTGTTGAGCTAATAACAAGCCAAGTTAGAATCCAGAAAGGCCACCTGCTATAGAATCTAGATCTCTGGATCAAGTATCCAGATCTTGAAGTGTTTCTCAAACTCTGTTGAAGGATTAGTTTGTTTTAATTTCCAGTATGTTGATATTTTATAATAAGCACTTACTAAAAAATGTAATGGAAGGAACAAAAGCATAAAACAGTAAACCTTATTTTTTATTAGATGCAACAAATATTAAATTTCAAAAAATGCCATCAGAGAAAATAATAAAAGAATTATTCCAAAAGTTTCTAAATGTTTACACTCAATTTCTATGTTTATCATAGACTGATAACAGTTTGCCCATACTAGCCTATAGACCAGACTCTGAGTGGCACCACCTAGAAGACTGAGCCAGAGCTTTACAGGAAGCTATACCAAAAGCCACAGCTGCTGGTTTATGGTTGCCATAGACCCACAGAGAATAGTGGCACTGACCTGTGGCATTAAAGAGGCCTCCAATGAAAATGTCAGCATTCAAGATCAATTCTTCTGGGGTAACCACTGAATTCCTTTCAAATGCAAACATTAGGGGAGGCTACAATGCTGGGTAGAGTCCCTCAAATTCTGAGCAAGATCAGGATGGTTATGATGGAATTACTAAAAACCTGGTGAACAGA